CTAAGCATGAACTATATATGTATATATATATATATATTATATAATACATATATATATATATATATGTATATATATATATATATGTTATATTAGTTATTATATATAGTTATATATTATATATATAGATAAGTTATATATATAATAAATATATTATATATATAGATATATATATAATATATATTAGTTAGTGTTGTGTGTAACAAGCATTCTTCAGGACAAACCCAGTATAGTATGAAGCTGTTTGATTGCAAGCCTTTGCTGATAGCCTTTGCATAAAAATTTGCTGTAAGCAAGTTTTTTACAACCCTTGGTCCTGCAGGCAGGAGTGGCAACAGCACAGCCCATAACAACAGGTGGTGCTCTTTATAATGGTAACACATTTGTTTTGGAAGCATGCATTACCTGGTCAATACTGGTACAATCCAGAGCAATGTGCACAGCTTACCTCCTCCTTCTGTGTGGGCACAACTGCCATGTGCTTCTCACTGTCCTCTTCTGCAATCACTAATGCCATTGAGCCAGAAAGCTGACCAAAACAAAAATCTCCTGCAGACCCATTTTGATTTTCATCATGGCCTGAAAATGATAACATATTTCAGCTTGGTTCAACTCAATACCAATATTTGCATTTGTGAAAACCTGGGTCCTGATTCACATACTAACAGAAGGCACAGACAACCCGGCAAGCCTCAAACCTTTTGTATCTGTGCACTAGATATGGGATCAATAAAAACTGTGGGTTACAAGGCAACTGGAGGGAGGGGGGGGGGTATATGGTATCACCCAGAATACCTTCTGCACAAAATCCCTAACCTTGAAAGCCCCTTCACAAGGTCATTGGATGTAGCCCTAAAAAACCTAAGCTAAGAATGTTATTAATCCTGACATGAATGTCTGCCACTCAAAAGAACTACACACAGAAGCCTTATTCTTGAAAAACCTATGTGTAGAAGACCAACTGCTAGAAGAACTACTCTGTGAGAACATTGTGGCAACATATATTCAAAAATTCAGAATAAGTTAGCAGCATGGGGCAAGTGTTGATTGTTAGGTGATAGTTATTGTTCATGGCATGAGGTGAGGTGAGAGCTCTTCACTTGTTAATTACAAATGCTGAGTGTTCTCCTTCCTAGTGTTGGTGATCATGGCAGGTCTTCCAATAAAAAGCTTTCTAGGTGTAGGTTCCTGATTTTAGCAATTCACAACAGCGGACCCTCTGAGAGCATGTCCGGATAGACCAGGCAATGTGAGACTGGGCAATACCAGGCTATTTTTGAAATATTTCCAGACATGTGCATAAGTAGACCCCCATGAACACACTTCACAGACCAAATTACATCTCCTGGAGCCTTCTACCAGTTCGCCAATGAAATATGCTTGCACTTTCTGAACTGACAATCCATCACGTTCTAGAGATGACAATGGACGGTCATGGCGCCCAATTCATGAACGACCCTGGTACATAAATAGCAAAAACACGGTCAACACTCCTGTCAAGCATTATTCGCTTACTATTCAATTACCTCTACGTGTGTAGACCCCGATTAATCACAGATTAGCCACCCTGCTCCCATTGGAAACACAACGACGTGCACGACCGCTGCGGTAGGCCTTGCGCGGGCAGCACGCCATGCGGCAGAAGCGCCAAAGAAGCGCCACATAACCGGTTCTCATCTTTTTATAAAAGACTTGATATCCCATGGCAAATACAACCATCGCGCACGTGTTACGTACTCGATGTCATCAGTTTTTGTCCTACTTGCATTCATTCGCGTTCGAGTACTGCCGAAGCCGACGCGTTCCGGCCGTGTGGGGTGGCGCGTGTTGGTGTCTGGATAAGTGTAGAGCATTTTTGACAGGCCATACGAACGGTGGAAGCGAGTTCTGTGGGGTCACATTTAATTTACTTCTGAATTTCTTCCTGTTTCAAGACTTCGGGTGAATCTCAGTGTAATGTTCTTTCTTCTTGGTGGTGATGGAGTGAAGTGAAGATGACTGGGCCGAGCCGACCCGGTAAGCGAGTGCGTACAGATGAACTTTTCTTTTCTCAGGTAGGGGGGGAATCCTCAGGCTCATACCTGAAAATAACACTCAACTCAGGGAAATCATTCAAGTCCAAAGGTTGGCCATGGATCCAGATGTGCGTGAGAGGAGTTCTGGGAGGCTCTGAGAAGGTTGAAAAGGCGAATCTTCTGGCTGCAGGCAGCCTTCTGATAAAACCAAAAATCATGGACAGACTGAAAAGTTCATGAAAAACAAAAAGTTTGGGAATGAGGAGTGTGAGGTTGTTCGGGAACAAAGAATGAACACATCCAGGGGAACCATCATTGCATATGACCTTGTAGATTTGTCCGAGACCGAGATTGTGGGATGGCTGGGTGAATTTGGGGTAGTGGGTGCTCGGAGATTCACCAAGAGGGTGGATGGAAAGACGGAGAATACCCCAACCATACTTTTGACATTTGACAGGTCCTCATGCCCAGCCAAATGGAGCTAGATTACATCACATACCATGTCCACCAATATATCCCCAACCCACTGATATGTTTTGGTTGTGGCAGATTTGGCCACCACTGAAACAAGATGCCCTGGTGATCCTCTATGCCTTCGTTGTGGGAAAGGAAGCATGAAGGGGAATGTGAGCGCTGGTGTGTGAACTGCAAACAGTCAGGACACTCATGCATGGCCAGAGAGTGTGAAATATGGAAAAAAGAAAAGGAGATATGTAAGATTAAAACTGAACAAGAACTCTCATACCCTCAGGCTAGAAGGCAATATGAAAAAGAGCATGACCCCCCTGTCCTGAAGTCATATGCTGCAACTGTCCGGCACCCAAGTGTGGCTCCCACTAACAAGCAGCATGATGACCTCAGGGAAAAAGTAGGAAAACTGGAAGAAAAGGTGGGTGAGATGATTGCTCTGCTTCAGCAACTGCTGATGAAACAAGGTGCCCAGGGGAATACCAGGGGGAGGGATGACAGTACCAGACCTGTAGGTAGACAGGATGAGGAAGTTGAGGTGGATGTTATAGCAGAGGGACAGAAGGACACTCAAAAGATGAGCAGGAAACCTATGAGAGGAGGAATGATGGAGAGTTCAAGTGATGCAGAGAGATGATGTAGAAAGTGAAAGAGTGGACAGGGAGATGAATCATATGACTGTGGAGCATAATGAGGAGATGGAGGGTTGGCAGAGAGCATGTAGGGCAAAGAAAAAGGACAAACAACATGTAACATATCTGAGGTACCTAATGACACTACCCCATCACCAATGATTAGCCGAGCAGGGAGATCTATGGAGAGGCCGAAGAGAAACTCCAGCCAAAGGAGGTCATGGAAGGAAGACTAACTAGTATTGAAATGGAGTGAACCACGTTTCTTTCTTCTTTGTTAATAGCTGAATAGTTTGTTGGTGATTGGTTGACAGGTATGTTGAATATTTGAATGAATAGGCCAGCAAATTCAGACGTTCTCCACGTAACTGTTCTCGTGCGGAGGGCATGCAGAGGTCGGTGGTGTTTGTTTTCATAGTTATTTTAGGACCCTTAATGCCGGGATTGTTATGCGAAATGGTTTGCAAAGTTGAGGGAGACTTAAATAACGAGTTCATGGTGTTTTTCCGGAGGCAGCTGCGTTTTCGGTTTGAGCAGAGGTCGCCCGGTTGGGCTAGTCCCAGCCCACTTGGTTCTCGGAGGTAAGGTTAAACATCCAGGTGCGATACCTAATTCGGGTCAGGGGGTGGACGAGCTGAGGTTGTTTGTCTCGTGGAGGTCACCCTTCGGAGGGTGCGGGGTGATCCTTGCCGGGGGCAATGGTACAGGCGCTATTTCCACTCGACCGGCCGGAGCGCGCCTGGTTCCGACCGCGGGGTTGGGGCTGGCTGGGGAGGGGAATAAGGGAAAGGGAAATGTGTATGTACTGAGATGTTTTGTTCGCAGTTACAGGACAAGTAGTACATACCGATGTTTGGCATATTTATTAATTTATTTATCTGATTTTTTCATGTTTTTGGTGGCGGTCCTTTGTTGGATTTCGGCGTTCGGGCTGCGCATTGGTTGTATGTTTGTGTGTGGGGATATGGTACGCGGTACAGGCTACTCGCGTGATTTTCTGATGTTCAAGTTTAAAAGTTCAATAAATGTCGAACTGTTGTCGGCGTGTGTGCTTGACTGGACGGAGTCTGCAGTCTAAGGCAACAATAAAATGACTTTCAGCATTATGCAGTGGAACTGTAGAGGTGTGATTTCAAAGTGGGCGGAGATAAAACCACTGCTGCTGGCAAGACCACATAGTGCCGTATGTCTCCAAGAGACACACTTCCTCCCTACTGACCAATATGATTTCAGAATTCCCGGATATACTCTTTATAACGCTTATTCTGACGCACATATTAGACGAGGCGGAGCATCAATCTACGTCAGCAACGACCTACCTCATTTTCAGGTCACACTAAATACTAATTTTCAGGCGGTGGCATGTTCGGTGACAATGGGGCATTCTCGTATTTGTGTTTGTTCTTTATACTTACCACCAAACGAGAATTTGACGTACCTTGAACTGAACGACTTGGTTACACAGCTACCGCAGCCGTATATCATAAACACGGACGCCAATAGTCGGCATTTCTTATGGGGTGCAGACCGGTGCGATTCTCGTGGAAAGGTGTGGGAAATGATAATACGGCAACATGCCTTAAAAGTGATGAACGATGGTTCCCCAACCAGAATGGACGAGTACACAGGATTATGGTCACATATCGACCTGACTGTGACGTCAAGCAGTGTGGGACAATTCATGCATTGGCAAACGGACACTGACTTACACTCCAGTGATCATCTCCCAGTTTATATTACATATGATAGGTATGGAGATATTCCACCACGACGTGACGAATTTACTGGTTGGAATATTAACAAGGCGAACTGGTCTGAATTTACTGACAGATGTTGTTTGCGATTCAATGAAAGGGACGGTATGCAAAACTACCAAAACATTACGAAGGTTATGCTGGGAGCAGCAAAAGAAAGTATTCCTCGGAAAATCAGAAACACCAAATATAGCTGCCCCTGGTGGACTGACGAGTGCAAGGAGGCAATTCGGGCAAGGAAACGGGCGCTCAATCGATTCCGACGTTCGCACACACATCTGCATTTATTGGCTTATAAGGAGGCGAAGGCGAAAGCCAGAAGGATAATTCGTACGGCAAAGAAAGATTCGTGGGAAAAACTATTGCATATGTTCAATGTGAATACGCCGATACAACACTTATGGGACATCATTAGGAAATTTACCAGAAAGGAGCGATTTGCGAGACCCTTACCTGTTCTGAAGGTGGCTGGTAACATAATTGACGACCCAACTGAAGTTGGAAATATCTTCGGACGGTTGTTTTCTGACATGTCGTCCTCTCGGAACTACCGAGCCACTTTTAGAGAGCTGGAATGGCAGATGATGGATCAAATGCCGTCATTTATTTCTGACAATGAGGAGGTTTATAATGATGTATTCACGATGACTGAGCTACAAATGTCTATTGCTAAATGCGGCAATACATCCATTGGACCGGATGAGATACATTACGCGTTTTTTAGACACCTACCTGATGAACAATTGCATTCAATTTTGGAAATGATGAACTGCATATGGTGTGGAGGTGATATCCCTGATGAATGGAGACACTCGATTATTGTTCCTATTTTGAAACCAGGCAAACCTAGGGAAAACCCTGAGTCATATAGACCAATTCAGCTAACTTCATGTTTTAGCAAAATAATGGAACGAATGGTCGCCAGACGGTTATCCTGGTTTCTTGAGCGGAACAATATGTTGTCTAAATATCAGTGTGCATTTAGGAATGGAAGAAGTACCACAGACCATGTAGTCAGGCTGGAGTCCGAGATTAGAAAAGGTTTTTTCTACAACAAATATACCTTGGCTGTTTTTTTGGACCTTAAAATGCATATAATCTCACGTCTAAAGTTGCTTTGCTCACAAAAATGTTTAATATGGGTTTTAGAGGACGCCTTATGTATTTCGTTAGATCGTACCTTGATAACAGAACCTTCCAGGTGCGCAATGGAACATTATCGGATACGTTCGAACAGGAAAACGGCTTAGTCCAAGGAGGAGTTATATCCCCGATATTGTTTAACATCATGATTGATGACGTGTGTGGAAATGTCCCGAGTGAAGTGTCCCGAGCGCTGTACGCTGACGATTGCTCTCTATGGGTGCAGGGAAGGAGAATTTTTCATCTAGTTAATAAAATGCAGGGGGCGTTGAACCATGTGAGTGCATGGGCTGATCGGTGGGGTTTCCTTTTCTCACCTCACAAATGCAACGCAATTGTATTTCGAAGGTATATGAAGGCAAGAGAGATGACGAACATACCTAACTTACATATATATAACCAGCCGTTAACATACACCGACACCGTCAAGTTTTTGGGAGTGATGCTGGACTCTAGGCTGAACTTAAACACGATGATGCAGTACATTAAAACAAAGGCTGTCAAAAGGATATCAATATTAAAATGTTTATCTGGAAAAGGCTGTGGCGCAGATCGTTCTACACTATTGAGAATATACAAAGCCATGATAAGACCGATATTAGAGTACGCATGCCAAGTTTTTGATGGTCCCCGTAACAAGGCAGTGGAAATGATTGATGTTATTCAAAATGAATGCATTAGAATTGCTACTGGAGCCTTTAGAACTTCGCCCATTTTACCATTGATGGTTGAAGCAGACATACTTCCCTTGAGACTGAGGAGATGCGACTTGTCTCTCCGTTATTCCCTGAAGATACTAAGTCGAGAGGATCATCCATGCAGAAAACTTATGGCCAATGAGGCTGCGTTACATGAGGTAGAGACTGGATATATGAAAAGGATTTCTGGTTTCCCGCTATATGAGAGAATACTTGATATGTGCCATGAAACAGGATTCGATTTCCCAGAAGAGGTGACCTTAAAACGCAGCGTCGTTCCGCCATGGAGATTACGTAAATGTACGTTGATAAAGTTGACTAACAGGAGCAAGAGAACGCTAGATGAAGTGCAAATTCAATGTGAGTTTAATGATTTGAGAAGCAGGTATACAGAATACGAGTTCATATTTACCGATGGAGCAAAAAGTGCAGACGGAGTTGGATGTGCTTTTGTCCACGGTGAAAGACGTCAAAAATTTAAACTTCCTGAACTTTGTTCGATATTTATAGCTGAAGGATTCGCAGTATTACAGGCTCTGAATTATACACATACAAATCGCATCCTCAAATGTGTTATATGCACAGACTCCTTGTCCATTATAACAGCCCTGGGAAATCCGACTTCTGAAAACCCGATCGTGATCCATTTACTAGAGACGGTCAGTCAGCTTATTGAAATGGGCAGTATAATCATTGTCCTCTGGATCCCAAGCCATAGTAATATACGTGGAAACGAGACAGCGGATGCACAAGCAAAGATGGCTATAAGATTGAATGACGTGTGTAATTTTCAAATGGGTCCTAAAGATTATTTTCCTAAAGTGCGTCGAAGTATTCGTGAATTATTCAACAAATATTGGACAGATTACAACCCTAGGACTAATTTAAAACGCATCAAAGAAGAGGTAGGAGACTGGGTCTCCTGTAAGCGAGCAGTCCGACGCGAAGAGATAGTGCTGTGCCGGCTGAGACTTGGGCATACTCGCTATACCCACGCATACATGATAGATAGAAACCTCCAACCTGAATGTGAACGATGTCAGTGTCCATTAACAGTGTATCACATTCTTCTTGAATGCCCCGTATATTTTCACGAAAGACGATCATTGGTAACACTATGTCAACGGTCCGGAACACAATTTTGTGTGAGGTCGCTGGTAGGAAATCAATTCCCGGACATCATTGATGGAGTGATGAAATATTTGCGACACTGCGACGTACTGAAACAATTGTGAAGTGCTGCCTTTGCGTGCGGGACAAGTGCAATTTTTGCTTTGCTGTCATTGATTGCTGCCATGCTGTTTATACTATATTGTAATTGTTTGAAATGAGTTGTTTATTCTATGTATAATTTAAGCTTGCGTGCATATCTGCGTACGATGTCTGACTGGATGCTTGAGAAATGTGATAAGCAAGGAAGTGGTATAGGAATTATGTGTAGCAAATATGTGTATATGTGTGATACGTGGGTGTGTGCGTAAGCAGAGGAGATAACATGAATGAGGTTTGAACGAGCATGGTGAAGACAGATGAATGTGCGTGCATGCGTTAGAGTACACGGCATGGCAGATATGTGAAATTTCCATCTGGTAAATGCTTTGTTAAACGACAATGTTGTGACTGCCGACTGACTGATGACTAACCTGCAACGTCTATCATGTGGGGAAGCTGCGGTTAAAAGAAAATGATAAAAAAGAGCCTGGCAAAAAAAAACCGGACTTTTTGTTCTCTTGTTTTAGTTCACTAATCAGTTTATGTATCTGAACATTTAACACCGAGTTTTCTAGAAACTAACACCGTTTACTGCACCTCCTTGCTACACCACTATCCTGCACGAAAATTCCTGACCAGCGCGACACATTCCTTCTATCCTCTGTCGCGCTTAGTTACCACCTGTGCTACCAAACTTGCAAGACAACACTTCAACGATGGACGCCTGAGCCCAAGAGGCTATGCGCCCTTAACCAACAACAACAACAACTACTTGCATTCTGATTGAGGCCGGTTGGCTGACGCGGGGTCGGCTGAGGGCTGACGTGTGGCTGGCGCGGGTGCACGGGATCAATTTCTGGATCAGAATAATAGATAGAGACCTCCGTTGCCCATATTTCAGCTTGACAGCTTCAGATTTTGGTGTGGGTAAGTGCGTGATAGGTGCGGACCGTTGCTGAGATAGTTATACCTTCACGGCGCTTATCATTGATGATCAGGTGAGGTGACACTTCGCCGAGACATTATCTTTTTCCTTTAAATTTCATTGTTATGTTTTTAGGAGCTTTGGCTGCCACATTAAGGTCATAAATATGTCAGCAGAACTGTTAGTGGTATGTTATGCCTGCCTGTTCATATGTATAAGCTTTCCCAATTCCTATCCACTTTGGGCCGCTCCAGCCTCCAAGCTTCAAGCTGGAAGTAGGTCCCTGTCAAATGCACTTTTGGCAATTTGAGTTTATTTTAAGCTGTTTATCTTGTCCATCCCCCAATTTTATTTTTTGCAAAAATGCATGACTACATTCCCTGTGTGACCATGGTTACCAATATTAACCTGAAGTACCTTTTATCAACTTACGTTTACTGACCATTTTCTGGGATAGTATTCACAGCTACATGCCTAGGAACCCAAAGCTTACCCAAGCTGGACCAATCATACTCCTGATATGAAAATTAGCTCTCCTCTGTGGCTGGTTCATTCATATTGACCTTAGATCAGTTGTCATGATCTAGGGAGTGAATACATCATTTTTGAACTTCATTTTCCAGTGTGTAGACTGGGTCAACTATAAGATGGGCCTAGATACATTTCTTGCATCTTTGTGGGGCCTTATGTAGGTTACCAGGTATCTCTCAATGTAGAAGAGATGGTGGGGTTATGATTGATACAGCTATTGGCTGACCAGTTGGGTCTCAATTTCTAGTAAAAATGTTGGATGAACAGATTGCTTTTTGTCTGCTTTAGAGGTATTTTTAGCAACAGCAATGTCATTTGAAATGAATAATTGGGTTTGGACCTGAAAGAACCATGGAGCACAACATGTTCCCAGTGATGGTGACACATGGTTAGTCCAGTATGGTCTAACTTTTCCAAGGCCTTTTTGAGCCTGCATGACACTGCACAGCCAAGAAATTTAAATTGCTCTAGAGTAAATGGCAGTATAGCTGGATAGAAGTGTTACACTCATTAACCTTGAGTCAGTTTTGGCCAGATTTGGTGATCATTCTATCATGAGCCACAAGGGAAAATATGCAATAAATTATAACAGGTGAGGAGGGGTGCAGATAAGTGATATAGGTGAAGCAAGTTGTTTGTGTAAGGTTTATAGGAAATTGGCATATCTAAGGACATTGAGCTTACTTAGTGGTTTGTGCATGACAGATTCTTCCACTGCCTGCACCAAGGTCCCAGCACTTTTTTGTTACTCTAAAACACCTATAGGGCTTCTAAAATATGATGAGCCCCTGAGAAATCACAACAGGAAACCAAGATTACAGATCCCTTCAGGATTCAAGAACCAGGGCCTCTGCAGTGACAGAGAGAGAGCCCTTGACTGATAATGCCTGTTGTAACTTGAATGAGCCCCAACCGAGACAAAATTTTGGCTACACTCCTTCATGAGCACACCAAACAATGTTTTTTGTCTTCAGAAGAAAAAATATAAAAGTCAAGTCCACAAGGACATCCAACCATGAACATGTTTCATGCAAAATAATTATAGGTGAAATCAAATAAATTTTACAGGCAAGTCCATCATTGTCACTGCCAGTCCTGCCTGTATCGTCATTTGCATTTCACATATTTTTTGTGTCCTTTCATGTTGTGGTGTTCGCTGGGTACTAACAACTTGTCTATTCTTCATAGGTTGCATACTATGTTTTGATGCACCAAAATTGTTTCAGGTGCATGCCGGCAAAATGGCCAACGTCATCGTCGCGATCAGTGCCGGCATGCTGATGGTGGCACTCACAGTCAACTTTTCTCTTCACAAGATAGAAGAGGGCCATGTGGGGGTGTACTTTAGAGTGAGTTCACAAAGCCAGGTTCATTGTGCACCAAATGCAGCAGTGGTATTTGGTTTATATACATGCAGTCAGTGTTGGTAGTTGTGTATATGTAAAAGTATCAGTTGTTTGCTTGGCAGATGATGGCAGTGGAAACCATATTTTCAGACTCCTTGAACATAACTTTTTCATGCATTATAGCAAGCTTAGTTGTTTGGAACGCAGGACTCGGTGTTGTACGCGACGATCACCGAACAGGTTTGGTTGGATGAACTCGATTACTTGTATTGGGCATCCATGGCATTACGACCCATTTGGCTTTCTGCGAACTTTGCGCATCTCTCGGTCATCGTCAGACACGCGGCCTTTGTGGATCTCTCGGTCAATGTAGGACACGCGACGCTTGAGGATCTCTCGGGCACTGTCGGACACGCGACCTTTGTTGATCTCTCGGTCACTGTCGGACGCGCGATCTTTGTGGAACTCTCGGTCGCTGTCGGACACGCGACGTTTGTGGATCTCTCGGTCACTGTCGGACACGGGACCTTTGTGGAACTACCGGTCACTGTCGGACACGCGACCTTTGTGGATCTCTCGGTCACTGTCGGACAAGCAACCTTTGTGGAACTCCCGGTCACTGTCGGACACGCGATCTGCGGTCAGCCTCTTTCGTAGCGGCCAGGAGCACACGAATCTGCCAGTCTGCGCTGGGAACGTTCGATGACTGCGGTATGGCGTCCTTTCCCCCGGGTGCCTGGGCCTCCACCTGACTCCATTGCTTGGGATGCACTGATCCGTTGGGGACTGTTGTCGCCAAAGCTGTAGTCGTCGCACTTCCAGCGGTCCCCGGAAGCGTAGCGTCTTCCAGTGCGGGTGCCAATCAACATTCGACAGTGGAAGTGCGCCTCTTTTTGCGCTCTGAAGATATTTGCGTCTTTTGCGTTCCGTAAAGCTCTCCCGTCCTATAACGGTCTTCTGGACACTCATGTATTTGATTGCACCAATCAATATCGACAAGCGCACCTGCCGCGAAGGGATTGTTTAGTATTATTAATGTAACGCTGATTGTGTGGCAACATCATGATGCATGATACATCATGATGCATGATGCTTCCTCCCCCGCCCCCCCCCCCCCCCCCCGTAAAAAAATCCAGAGGGAAACGGTGGTGACAACATAATAAGCCATATGCTTCGCAGCCCTTTTTCTCCTCTCATATCGGTTACATAGTTTTTTTTCTGCAGCCTCTTTGAACACTGGTATCCTTGCGACTGAGACATGCGTCTTGAAAGAGTGCGTGTGTAATCATCCTCGGTCTGTGTTCCGTGTGGCCGCCCTCGTTCCATGTTCCGTGTGAGCGTCCGCGGCCTTTATACCCTGTGACTGTCCTCGGTGTGTGTTCCGCGTGACCGTCTCGGTCTGTGTTCCGTGTGGCCGTCTCGGTCTGTGTTCCGTGTGGCTGTACCACCAGCCCTGCGTTCCGCGTGACCCACCTTATGCTCTGCTCCAGTGACACACCCTGTCCTTCTGTCACAGGGTGGTGCCCTTCTGCAGCAGACCAGCCAGCCCGGCTACCACATGATGGTGCCGTTCATCACCTCGTTCCGCTCTGTCCAGGTACGGTGTGTAGGGCCTGGCGAGGGCGCGGTGCAAGGATTCCCAAGCGAGCGCTAGACTAGTCTGTAACCGATATTCAGTTAGTTGTGTCCAGTCTGTACTCGTTGGCGTAGATAAGTCTTAGACTTCGTTCTTTCGCCGATATCTGCTGTCTTTGCGTCAAGCACCAAGTGGCCGCTCGTTTACAATATGGAGGGGCTTCTTCATGCCTTAGGTCCTTGCCTGGCGTGAATCAGCATACGTGGTTGCAAGCGCACAGGGTGCGGCCTGTGAATACCTGGGGACATCAGTGCAACAGTGAAATGATGTCAATAATTATCTGTGGGCCATGACTGAGAAAGTCATGAACCAGCGGCTTGCGGTGATCCAGGCATCGGCGTTCTTTGTGTGATTGCCGGCGAGAGAAGGTATTGCCACTGAAGTCCCGTCGCCATGTTGCTGGCCGATCTCATAATGTGGTGAAACCCGGTCCAGACCCGCTCGGTGTCCCCGTCTGCCCGTGGCTCACAGTTGGGCACAGAAGACCGAGGTATATTGTTTCGGTTATTGCAATGTAATTGGTAGACAAAGTAAGACCAGGGAGAGAAAAAACAGTGTGAAGTTGTGGGTCCATTGCACATCATGCGCGAGATAACAGCGGAGTTCCCACTAACCCTTCACGTAAGGCCGACAAGAATGCTAATCGAGTAGAGCGTACTATTGTTTCAAACACGAACAAGGTGCTTCTTCCATGTCGTAACGCACCATCGCGCCACCCCATGGTTCTTGCCGCTCGGACTTGACCATTCGCTAGCGTGCTTTTGACGACCTGTTCCGACCCGCTTGGCCGTCAGGTAACGCTGCAGACAGACGAGGTCACGAACGTGCCCTGCGGCACGTCCGGCGGAGTGATGATCTACATTGACCGGATCGAGGTCGTCAACTGGCTGTCGCCGGACGCCGGTGGGTGTCGACCGGACGTTACAGGGTGTGACGCGGACGCGCTGCGCCCGAGCAGGAAGCTGTCGAGCCTGAAGAGGTCGACTGGTGGTGTGGTCCGTAATTATTTGTAGATCAGTAGCGAAGCAACGTCGAGCATTTTGTGAGATTGTCGTGGAACGTTGAGACGGACCGTCTGAAGGGGATTGTATTGTTTTTATTGCGACGCTTGAACGGAGTAGGCGAGACATTGGTAGTTCGCAGTTGGAATGGCACGGGCGTGGGCAACACTTTGCTGGGTCCGGAAGAAATGTGTGTGTGCAAATCCCGAGCTCGCTGTTGGGATGACCTCAGCTGTTGGATTGCATCCATACTTGGTGAAACCCAAAAGCCGTTCTCGACCATTTGTTATGGACGGGTGTGCTGGTACTCAGAAGTGTATTTTGTAAACCTGCATTTATGGCAATACAGCATAATTTTAACAGGCCCAAAATATATGAAGTACTTGGGTTAAAATAGGTTAGAATAGGTTGAATTTGTTCGTAAAACTTTGTTGGCCACGTCGTGACGCTACGTTTGACAATCTCAGTGCTACGTGCCGCGCCTCATTGTCCTGGATGGCGTGCATTTTCCAGTGCATCCTATTGTGAGGAACTACACAGCCGACTACGACAAGACGCTCATCTTCCACAAGATTCACCACGAGCTGAACCAGTTCTGCTCGGCCCACACGCTGCAGGAGGTATGACTGCCAGTTGTGCCTGTCTGTCACGAGTGACCCGCTCTGCCATCGGTACCGCACTAGCGCGGATTGTTTCTGCAATGCCATGCCAGCATGTTAATTTCATTCAGGTACAGCTCAGCGGCGATGGTGCACATTAACGTCTCGTACGCACCATTGATGTGTAAGTTGTGCACGAAGTTCTGTCATGACACGATGTTGCACGACACTGCGACTGGGAGGAGTCAATTTGTTTCACATTTGTGTGTGGTTTTGAATGAAAATAGCCATTTTAAAGACCATTTGGCGCAGTTCGCAGCCCTGTCCTTAATGTTTTAAATCCTTTAGGTTCTGGGCTACACGCCCGCGAAGACGTGCAGACTTTCGTGCAGACTACTTCAAGGCCATTCAGGCGTGCATGACGCTAGAGCTACGTCATCTACATCATGTCACCAAATAGGCCATGCGGCATTCAAAGCCAGGAAAGACATTATTGGTGAGCCGTCGAGATCTGGCGTCTGTGATCACGACTTCGAAATATTGTAGACGTGAGTTGGCTCTCAATCAATGTTCAGTGGGCTGTACAAGTTTCAGTCACGAATCACGTTTCGTGCTGCATCATAAAATAAGTTGGACATAGTTGCTAGCTGTTACGAAAGTGAGCCTTGTAATCAAATAACTTGATAATGGCACTGTAACTGAGTGTGTGAATACAAGTAGACACCTTAAACGCATGGATACATAGGCAGGAATGCCACGAGAAAGGGCCAAAACACGAGCACATAGATATTTGGTTCAGCGAACACGTCCAGCACCGTACTGTTATCTTTTGGCGAATCTAAAGTACTATAAGCTAGTGCTGGGGTGGCAATTTTGCACGGCTAGTTTGGCAGTGCCTCGACGTTATGCAAACGTTCCACGATGCAAACAAAAAATGACGTATTGAGGAACATATTTACTAAAAAGAGAAGTTGTGTTGTTCAGAGCAGTCTTATCCTCTCAAAAGTATACCATTAGTTATAAGTGAGCCTGTTTCATCATCTGATGTTTGCTTCATATCCTGAAATGTGGAATATCCCCTTTACCGGACACACCGCAATGTTGTGCGGGTCGAACGTCATTCACCACATTGCAGTCCTGTAGCGATGGCTTCTGATGGGCTGTTACGCGATGTGGCCCGATAATCCCGCCGCTACAAAATGCCGGGCCTCAGTGCTGGACGGTGGCTGTTCATATCAAACTGGCATCCCAAATAAAACATCGCCGCTAATCGCATTCCAAATAAAACCGTCACATGTCGCAAGTGTTCAATTCCTTGATTGTACCAAACCGGTCTTTTGACCCCACGTTCTGTCTGTGTGTCTCGTTCTAGGTGTACATCGACCTCTTTGACCGGATTGACGAGAACCTGAAAGCGGCGCTGCAGAAGGACCTCACGGAGATGGCCCCTGGCCTCACCATCCACGCCGTGCGCGTCACCAAACCCAAGATTCCTGAGTCCATCCGCAAAAACTACGAACTCATGTGAGTCGATGTCTTGGTCATCTCGACGTTAAGCAATGAGCGCTTGGTTGTCTCCGTATAGAAACGACTGGCTTTGTTGATCGCTTTTGTGAAACCTTCGGTTCAGTTCTGTGTATACAATATATGGTGAAGGGCCGCGTTGGCACGAATCATGGTGGGATACAATTTTAGTTCATGGCTTCAGAAATGTACGAAAAATTTGGTGCCGTCTAATCGTCCTGGAGCTATCCTTCTCACGCATATTTGGAGATTGGAAAAGTAGATGTCCTCGTCCTATTGTTTCTTTTTAGTTGCAGTGGAAAGCAAATCAAATGCATTCAGCTATATTGCATTATAGGATAATGCAAAACGAAGATGGTGAGTTTTGAGTGTCGAGATAACGTCGGCACAACAAAACGGATGAATCAGGGCTAACTGAGACGGAAGGATGACTAGTGCGGAGAGCGGCAACGCGGAGGCAGCTGTGTCATTACTGGATGGTAACACACAGGTGTCCGACAGGGAGGCGGAGAAGACGAAGCTCTTGATCTCGACACAGCGGCAGAAGGTGGTGGAAAAAGACTCGGAGACAGAGCGGAAGAAGGCAGTCATCGAAGCCGAAAAGAACTCTGAGGTGGCCAAGATCCGCTACCAGCAGAAGGTTATGGAGAAGGAGTCGCTGCAGAAGATATCTACCATTGAAGGTGAGCTGACTGAGAACGATGACGGTGAGAGTAAGATGCGTTGGTCAGGCGTAATCATAACATGGTGGGGATTTACAAGCGAAGCACAATAACCAGTGTGAATATTCTGGTCCGGTTTAGTTCCTTGTCTGTCTGTGAATTGTCTTAGGCAACGTCTTTTTTTTGAAATATAAATTTTTTAAAACAATTTATGAGCATTGTTATATTGTCCACCATCACCTAACTGTTTAATTTACGCCAAATGCTTGGCGTATGACCTGAAAATAGTCATGTCGTTGGGAACCCTTTGTAGTCATATGTGGAACCAGAACACAAACAGAGAATTAAACCAGCGCGCTTATCAGTGGAGCTCGCTGTGCTTCCATACACCAGTGTGGAACCCCACTGCAGTGCCTTATCAGTGGAGCTCGCTGTACTTCCATACACGAGTGTGGAACCCCACCGCAATGCCTTATCAGTGGAGCTCGCTGTGCTTCCATACACGAGTGTGGAACCCCACTGCAATGCCTTTTAGACCTGTCTGTTGTCATGCCTGATCGCGCTTGAGGTCCAGTTAGCGAGCTTGTACCGAGTGACTGAAGGTGTTCTCACGTTCCCAGTTCCCAGTTCCCAGTTCCCAGTTCCCAGTGTTCCCCCTCACGTTAACGTCTTCCGGCGCTCCAGATCAGATGGAAGTGGCCCGGAAAAAGGCGACAGCAGACGCCGAGTTCTACTCGCGCGAGCGCCAGTCGACCGCCAACAAGATGCTGCTCACGCCCGAGTTCCTCGAGCTACGTCGCTACGAGGCCATCGCCGCTAATAGCAAGGTCTATTTCGGCTCGCACATCCCCAACATGTTCATCGAAAACGCCGCCGTCCAGCCTGCCGCCGCCACCGGTGATGCCACCGCGGCGGCGGCGGCGGCGGCGGCGGCTGCAGCCTCGACCGGCAGCAAGAGCGTGGCGTCGAAGCCGGAGCCAGCGGGGGAGCCTTGACGCAGAGCTCTGCTGCTGCTGCCGCGCCCAGCGCGCGCCAACCGCGGCGGTTCGGCGGCGGCCGCCGCGACCCGGAGAGAGCCGCCAGTGGTCCAGCCAGCTGTGGTCTGTGGTATCGGGTCAACGTTCGGGGCGGGTGGGGCTCGGCTGTTTCCTCAACGGTGCGAGCGGCTGGCCGGCCGTGTGTCGCTCTCGTGGTCAGACACCGCGTGCACTCCCGGAGGTTTCCAGGGATCAAAGCGCAGCCATAGATGAGGCGGGCGATTTGTCGGCCCCTCCCACTGCTGCCGTCACATGCGGGAGTGCGTGACGGGTGGCGCCGGTCCGGGGAGTCGTGCGATTAGCCGCCTGCCACGTCCCGCTGGGGCTCATTGTAATACCAAGGTGCCCAGGCCGTATCATTTGTGGCGCAGGTCCCGTTTTGTTTGTTTGTTTTTGTTTTTTGTATCCGCCGTGCGCGCAGGCACACCGTGGGCCTTGTGCGCGGTTCCTGAGCGTGGACACGGTGTAACACATCCCCCGGTGGTCTGCCGTCTCTGGGAGAGCTCTTCACGGCATGGAGCCTCGCGAGTAGGGACGGCGTGCCGTCCTGCGTTGCTGGCACGCGCCTGGCTGAGGCGGTGTTTTCGGCGAGTTTAGGCTGCCGGCTCACGTGTGTGATACAAAGGCAAGTCCAGAGAGGTACTGACGGACACGCGCGTCCTACTGTTAGAGGTCGGCTTCGGAAAAAAGCAGGATCACGAGCGGCGGCGGAGCTGTTGGCTTATGCGTCGGGATGTGAATGTGATGAAATTATGATGTCTGTCGTGAAGCTCAATCAGTAGGAATGAGGACCTTCGCCATAGCATGCCTGTTAAGTGTTCAGTGGCGAGCGACGGAGATGAACTGCTAGGTCACTGAACCGATAGATGTAGGTCACGGATCATTTTGAGTGTGACACTAACAGGAGGTCATGGGCCTCGTCGGTCTGAATGAGCGCATGGTGAACATCGACCAAGGGCATTTTTGTGGTCCAAAATATACGTTCTGTGATCGCTAAGCGCCTTGTCGAAAGTTTTAGACAGATTGCGACATTTTGCTCGGAATGCATAAATCAGGCGGGAACTACAATTCTTCCCACAGATCCCACACCAGCCCAAGCGGCTAGGGCGGCAGCAAGGCTGGTGACCAGTCTCCCGTCTTCGCGCATTTTAAAGGCTGTTTGAAGAGGCGACGCACGCATTTATTTCGGTAGATAAAAAATTCCACTGCGGGAAGAAATGTGCCGAAAAGCTACCAAGCCAGAAAAGTTTTTCACCATAGGATTGGTACATAAAATAAGTGCGCATGCCGAGCACGTAACTGACATGGGTGGTACACCTGGGTCCTGTAGACATACGAGTAAAACGGAACGGGGCCGGAACGAGTCAGGGGCTCACAAAATTAGCAACGCAAGTTGATTTTGAACACCTTCGGCTCCCAGGACATACGCGACCTCCAGGGGAGGGGGATGGCAGCCAAACAAGGGTGCAGTAACTGGGGAGGGGAAGAGCAGTAAGGGCAGCTCATCCTCTCCCAACTTGAAATCTGGCGGTGCCACCCCTTCTCCCCACGTGGAGGGCCTGTGGAGGACCCGTTCTGAAAGATAAGAGGATTATATAAGCATACGAAAGTCCATTCCGGCCTGTCGATGGCTCATTATTGGCTATGTAGGATCTCTTCTGACCAAAAGAGAGCAATTCTGAGCCTGCAGAGGACGCCCATTCTTACCTTAAGAGGGGTCATTCTGGTCATAAAAGGGCTCATTCTGGCCTGTAGAGGGCCCCTATGACCTGCATACCTATTATGACCTGTAGAAGGTCCAGTAATTACTGTCGAGAGTCTAACTCCATTCTAGCATGCGGAGAGCTCATTCTGGCCTGGAGGACCAATTATGTGATCTTAGGAGGGGGGGGGGGGGCATTTTGGCATTTAGGAGTTTCCCTCCCCAACGTGAGCATAGTTCCCGCGCCCCTGCACCCAAATCCTCCTTGCCAGCATCGTCGTTGGTTGCATGCGTAATGTGATCAGCGCGGCGCTAGGTAGTGCGTCACAGAAGTGGCTGCGGCCTGCGGCTGCGGATGCGGCTGGGCCTAAACCTGAGACCGCGGCTGGGCCTGGGCCTGGGCCTGGCACTGCGGCTGGGTCTGGGCCTGGGCCTGGCACTGCGGCTGGGTCTGGGCCTGGGCCTGGCACTGCGGCTGGGTCTGGGCTTGGGACTGGCACTGCGGCTGGGCATGGGCCTTGGGACTGGCACTGCGGCTGGGTCTGGGCTTGGCACTGGGCCTGGGCCTGGGATTATTCCCTGCGATGGACCTGAGACTGGGACTGGGACTGGGGCTGACATTGACGCTGGGGCTGGGATTTGGCATAACATGGCCACGGACGGCGGATCCGGGGAAGGCAGAGGGCATTTACCCTCTGCCAAATCCGGGCAGCATTTAGCATGGCGGCAGCACACATCACAAAATAGGCAAGTTGCGTGGGGCCTTCCAAGTTTCCACAGAGAGTCCGCCACTACTGACAGAGCGGAAGACAGGACCGGGGGGAGGGGAGGGGCGGGAGGCAACAGAACAGTGCAGGACGGGCCAGGACAGATCAGCGGCTGGGGCATGGTGGAAATCCACAGCGAAGAAGAGCGCATGACAGGAGGCAGCAGAATGGGACGGGGCAGAAGATAATGGCACAAGGCGGGGGAGCAGATATGACATCGCAGGACAGGTAGCGACAGGAAGACAGGGCTGAGGAAAGGGCTGAGGGCTAAGTGAGTCAACAAGAAGTTTATCATATAATGTGGGTTATCGGTACATACGACAGGTTCTAGAGGTGACAAATGACATTTTCTACACTGTCTGTCTCTGCCTTGGTTTTGGCCTTAATTTGATCTTGATGTCTGACCCAAGGAGAATAAGCCGTAATCACAGCTGTCTCATTACTTCAAATGTCAGCTGAAAGTTATAAAACTGCGTGTAATACCCGTTCTCGCATCATACCGAACTATTCCCAACGAATTGTCCTCGCTGACAAGCACCACTTTACTTTCACCTGCTCTAGACCAGTGACCCTACGACCTAGTTACATGTAATGTTATCAAAATATCGAGTATTCAACCGTGGGGTCGGTAATTGTCTGCGACGCCGGCAGTTATACCTCGGCTTGCGCAGTTACATCACAACGTTCGGAAATTATTCTGGAGAACCACCGGGTGAGGGAGCAAGTTGCCTCCACCACAGCGTGTGGTAACGGAAAACGGTGATATACCGCGCCAAGCTCCAATGGAAGTATCAATATGACCATCAAAAAAGCACATAAGCGGAAGTCCGAAGTGTACCATGCTCACCTTACCGGACACGTGTAGTCGTTCGCTTAGAACAAAACGGTGTTACCTTTGTGATCACAGAGATGTCATCCTGTCAGTAAGCATAGGTTTGTTAGTAAGAAAGCGAAATGCCAGCACTTAAGCCAAATCACTGCGGAGCGATCTGTGCTGATGATTTCTTCAGCCTGTGCTTTTTCACGTGCATATCTATACAACCTTTTTCAAGTGGTTTTTATCCATATGATTGCTACGCTTTTTGCGCTATATATATTTGGGGAGCATTATAGTGCGTTTTAATATTACGTAAGTTGTTACCTGCGGGGGCGAAAATATTGTATATGCATAGTGCAGTACTGAATGCCTTTCCTCTTCGAATAACCAGGAGAAAGGAAGTGACAAACATTAATATTTCGGTTTGCTGCCTTTGTCGACACGATGATGAGCAGCAAGTTAGAAACTGCGTGCCGATCCCACTCAGTTTTTGCTCTTACGCTTTTTACTCTTACTCTTTACTTTAGTGCGGCTCTAACTTCAACTCGACTATAGTGCATAGGGGGCAAAAACCTCTTGCATGTTGTCAGTCGACGTATACCAAAAGGCAGTTATTGCAAAATCACTCATTACTCGCCATGCTTCCAGAAAATGCTCTTTTCCTGGTACTGCTGACGGGTACGTTAGGTTGGGTCATACGACACTGCTTAAAATGTGCTCATATGCGCCATCTAAGGAAGCGAGGTGGGGACGGGGATCGCGACTGCACTGTTCCTCTTCGCAGACCTTGGAAGTCTGCTGTACTCATAAACTTACTACGTACAAAAGAGTTGAAATGGGTGAAAGCCACTCGATAACTAATGTGATAGCCATACGGTCCTAACCACCTTAAAACATTTCGGTGATTCTGAATGCCGCCTCCTACGTCATTAGTTGCATGCCATCTGCTTCACGTTTTCCTGCTCACGCTGACCACGACTATCCATAGTGCTACACGTTTTTCAAGGGAAAATCACTTTTAACACTCAGGCAGTCGCGGCTAGGGGAGAAATACCTAAGTGCTGCTGGGTCTATGGCATGATGTGTCGCAAGCTCATATTCGTGTCGCAAGTTCATATTCAAATAGTCATTCACTGACATGCGACGACTTGCAGATCTGGCATAACAACAATGCCACGACAGCCTCGAGGGAGGCGCGTTACGGACTACCGCGTACCAAACCTGGCGATGTCGGCTTAAGGCTTTAACCGTTACTGGCGTCAGGCAATACGCGTGACGATCGGAAAGCGCATCCATTCCGTTCAGCAGCGCGTGGCCTTCTGCACACCTGAATCCATGTGTTCAGGCATGCAGAGGACATATGTGTGGCGGCACGACTGCACGCTGTTGTCTCAGCCAAAATATTTTTGTCGCACGTTGTTTCGACGGCCGGCAACCGAACGCGCAGTCACGCGGCTGTGGGATGCATCTGCTGCGCGGAAGGCCCTCAGCAGACACACGAGACTGTGCAACCAATTCATACCCAGCGACACCCCGGCTAGAGGACTCGGCTTTTTGGGCCGACGAAATCTGAGAATTGACGGCGGGTCACGTTTCAGGCTATCGCCATTTTACGTCTACCTCTCTCTGGGTTTGGGCGACAGCGTGCTGCTTTCGAGGTCGGTTTCGGAAAACGCGACATTGGCCGCTTCACGACCGATTGCTGACGTCTCTTCAGATTGGACAGTGTTGGACAGCATGGATGGTTTGTAGACGGCGCATGCGCCTAAATTATACATCCAGTTTCAAGACGTTATATGCATGGTCTGCCGGGATCCCACATCAATCCTGTAAAATGCCAGGAAAGTGTTGGATCCGTATTTTTAACGATCTCACGTGGCCCGCCTGCGCGCAATGAACCGTGCTTTTGTCAGGTCGAAAGTCCATTTTTTGCCGAGTCGAAATGTGCTGATTTCGTTTTGTTCTAATGTGTCGGATTTATAGGCTCCGCCAATTCTGTGTCACATGTTTTAGGTGTATTTTTACGACAAGCTCATCTACTGTAACGAACGAAAACAAGGCAATTGTATAACAATCTAAGAAAAATTGCTAAGTTTATTATTAATATATTCGGGACAACTTGCTAGCACAGAACCCATTCGTAGGCACTCTGGGCCCCAGGCCGTCGATCGCCGTGGACATTTGGTTGCAGATTTTATGAATGCACATTACTTAGTTTTGCTAAACAAAGGCAATAATACTCCACACTACATATCCACTGGCACGGAGCAGTCGTTGACTCGCTGTTGTGCTCTCCCTCAATATGGACTTCCGTCGATCGGACTGTCGAGGGGGATGTCCACGACAGCGACCATTTTCCAACTAAACTGCTTCCACTTTTGATCTGCTGCTGATCCTGTTCTGCGATGCATGCCCCTCTGGAATCTGCGAAGCCAGACTGGGCCAAATTTCAGGAACTTTGTTTTGCCGACCATGATCGCTACGACTCACCGGAGCGGGCCATTGGTCTTACACACATATTTTTCCTTTTGCAGCAACCACGATAATTTCACTGACTAATTGTTCACCATGATGTCTCCCCGTGCCGTGGTGGACAGATGAAGTTAAGAAGGTGACTGCTGAGACGTCAACATGGTTTTCAGCAGTTATTAACACAATCACGATATTCCTCGTTTACTCGCCCGCAGTTCCGAACGCACACA